ACTGGTTTAGAAACGTGGTGTTGTTGATTCTTTTGGATTTTCCACATCAACAATCATGTCATTTAAGACTAAAGGCAGTTTTATCTCTTCCTTTCTAAGTGCATATATTTTCTTTTCTCTTCTTGTATTGTCTTTTTGCATTAACCAAGACTTCCAGTGGCAATGAAAAGGAGTAGTGAGAGGGGACATCTTTAACATCATTCCTTATCTCAATGAGAAACTTCTAGTTTCTCACCATTAAGTATGATGTTAACTATAAGATTTTTTGTAGCTATTATTTATCAATTTGAAGAAGTTTTCTTCTACTCTTAATTTGCTGAGAGTTTTTATCATAAATGGGTGTTGAATTTTGTCAAGTACTTTTTCTGCATCTATTGATAAGTTAATATAATTTTTCTTCTTTAGTCTGTGGATGTAATGAATTGCATTAGTTTATTTTCTAACGTTGACCTAGCCCTGTACACCTGAGATAAATCCCACTTGGTTGTAGTATATAATTCTTTATGAATATTGTTGGATTTGATTTGCTAATATTTTGTTAAAGATTTTTGCCTCTATATTCATGAGAGATGTTAGTTCCAGTAATGTCTTTATCTGGTTTTGGTATTAGGGTAATACTGGCCTCACAGAATGACCTAGAAAGTATTCCCTCTACCTCTATCTTCTGGAAGAGATTGTAGAGAACTGATAGAATTTCTTCCTTAGATGTTTGCTAGAATTCACAAGTGAACCCATTTGGGTCTGATACTTTCTATATTTAAGGGTAAATAATTATTATTAATTTAATTAAAAAATAAACATGGCATATTCGCATTCACATTATCTACTTGTTCTTGTGTGAGTTTTCACAAATTTTATATATATATATATATATATATAAATAAAAAAATATATAATTTTTTTTTTTAGACGGAGTCTCACTCTGTCACCCAGGCTGGAGTGCAGTGGCAGGATCTCTGCTCACTGCAAGTTCCACCTCCTGGGTTCATGCCATTCTCCCGCCTCAGCCTCCCGAGTAGCTGGGACTACAGTCACCCGCCACCACGTCCGGCTAATTTTTTTGTATTTTTTTAGTAGAAACGGGGTTTCACCATGTTAGACAGAATGGTCTGGGTCTCCTGACCTTTTGATTTGCCCGCCTTGGCCTCCCAAAGTGCTGGGATTACAGATCTGAGTCACGGTGCCTCACCATTATATTTTTTAAGGATTGGTTCATTTCATCTGTGTCACCAGATTTGTAGACACACAAAGTTGTTAAGGCATTTTTTATTATCCTTTTACTGTCATTGGATCTGTAGTGATAGTTTTTATTTTTGATATTATAAATTTGTGTCTTTGCCATTTTTTCTTAGTAGCCTTGCTAGTGGTTTATTGATTTTATTAATATTTTCATAGAACCAGGTTTTGATTTTGTTGATTTTCTCTAGTAATTTCATTATTCCAATATCATTTATTTCTACCCTAATTTTTATTATTCCTTTTCTTCTGCTTACTTTGGATTTAATTTGCCCTTCTTTTTCTGGTTTCCTAAAGTGGAAGCAGAGCTCATTAATTTTATATCTTACCTCATTTCCAATATATACATTAAATTACTTAAATTTCCCTCTAAGCACTACTTGAGCTATATACCACAAATTTTGCTAAGTTGTATCTCATTTTGATTTAACTAAAAAAACAATTAACTTCTCTTGAGACTTCTCCTTTGACCTATTTGGTTTTTTTTTTTTTTTTTTTTTTGAGACGGAGTCTCACTCTGTCACCCAGGCTGGAGTGCAGTGGCCGGATCTCAGCTCACTGTAACCTCCGCCTCCTGGGTTTACGCCATTCTCCTGCCTCAGCCTCCCAAGTAGCTGGGACCACAGGCACTTGCCACCTCGCCTGGCTAGTTTTTTGTATTTTTTAGTAGAGACGGGGTTTCACCATGTTAGCCAGGATGGTCTCGATCTCCTGACCTCGTGATCCGCCCGCCTCGGCCTCCCAAAGTGCTGGGATTACAGGCTTGAGCCACCGCGCCCAGTCGACCTATTTGTTATTTAGAAATGTGTTGTTCAATCTCCATCAATTTTGGGATTTTCCAACTATCTTTCTGTCATTGATTTATAGTATAATTTCCCTGAGTTCTGAAAGCAGACATTATATGATTTCTATTTTAAAGGTGTTAAGATGCATTTCATGATCCTAAATTTGGTCCATCTCCATAAGTATTCCATGTGGGTTTAAAAAGAATGTGTAATCTGCTGTTGTTAGATGAAGTCGTCTATAGATGTCAATTACATCCAATTGATTGACGGTGTTGTTCAATTCAATGATGTCCTAATACTGATTTTATGCTGACTGGATCTGTCTATTTCTGATAGAGCAGATGTTGAAATCTCCAATTATTATTGTGGGTTAATCTATTTCTCTTTCCAGTTCTATCAGGTTTTACCTCACGTATTTTGATGCTGTGAAGTTAGGTGCACACACATTAAGAACTGGAATTTCTACTTCTAGAATTGACCACTTTATCGTGAGGTAATGCCTCTCTCTTTTTCCCCATAACTTTCCTTGCTCTGAAGTTTGCTTTGTCTGAAATTAACACAGCTAATTCTGCTTGCTTTTAATTGGTGCTAGCTTAGTCTATGTTTCACCATCCATTTACTTTTAATCCACATATGTCTTTATATTTAAAGTGGGTTTATTAAAGACAAAAGATACTTGGGTCTTAAATCCATTCTAAAAATTGTTATACTTTAATCTGTATATTTGGAACACTGACCCTCAAAGTGATTATTTATGTATTTGTATTAATATCCACTATACTTCTTATTCTATTTGTTGACCTTGTTTTTTGTTCTTTCACTCTTTTGTTTTTTAAAATATTAATTGAGAATTTATATTATTATTTATGATCAATATTTTCTCCTTTCTTAGTAAATTAATTTTAATTTTGTAGTGGTTGCTCTAGAGTTTGTAATATACATTTATGACTAATCCAAGTCCACTTTCAACTGATATTACACCACTTAATGGGTAGTGCACCATCTTTTAGTAGCAAAACGATATTAATGTCTTCCTCTTGCCTTTTGTATTATTGCTGCCCATTCAGTTATGTATAAGCAAACACACACACACACGAGCACACATAATTGAATGCTTCCTTGCCATTTTTTTAACAATCTGTTATCTGTTAAATAAATTAAGAATAACAAACATTTTTATTTACCTTCACTTACATCTTCTTCAATGCTTCTTTTTCTTTAAATCTGAGTTTAGGAATGTAGAGAATAACTTATATGTGGTGGTCCATTTTCAATAATAAGTGCTTTAGTATAAGTTTAAGCAGGCTTCATGGAAATAAAGAAATAAAGAAGCAGAATGTACTGAGCTATGAGCCACCACCCTGCCTTTCTGCTTTCTCTTTCATTCAGTGGTCAGGCACCTATCAGTCAGGCTCTCCTGTTTAAGTCCCCTCATTCTCTGTAGGAAATACAAATCACTCCTCTTGTCTCTAAATGGGGGGCGGAGGGGTTTCAATAAACCCACGGGGGAGCTTTCAACCTGCACCCACGTCCTAAATGGCACCGGTAAGCCAGACTGTGGCAACTACTCTGCTCTTCATATACCCTGAGGCAGATGTCTGGGAGTACTGTGGGACACGGAACCTCTGTTAACTTGTTATCGTCCAGTTGAACCGGAACTTGTGCTTTAGTGCAATTGGCTATTCCCTTCACCCTGACATTCCGTAGTAGGATGCCTAAAAACACACATGGTCATTGAGACCAAAGAAATCTAACAAGTTCTTTCGATCCCAATGTATATACTGATTCCATAGCCGTCCCTAGGAGAATCCCTAATACATTTAAGGCTCAAAACCAAATACCCAAGGATTTAAGTCAGCAATCTTCTGGTGGTCACCTATTAACAAAAATGTAAACTGGATCAATTACATCTATTACAATCAGAAAAAATTCAACAATTACACTCAGGATGCCCTTCAGGGTATAGCCAGCCAACTAAATGCCACTAGACAAATGCTTTGGGAAAACAAATTGCACTGAATATTGTATTAGCAGTAAAAGGTAGTGTATGTTGTACATTCATTCCCAACAATACTGCCCCAGATGAAACCATTACAAAGGCACTACAAGAACTAACAACTCTGGCCAATAAGACGGCAAAAAAAATGTAGGAATAAATATCACTTTTACTGATTGGCTAAAAGGGTGGTTTAAAAAGTGGAAAGGAATGGTAGCTTCATTTCTTACATCTCTTGTAACTGTGACAGGGGTCTTAACAGCCATAGGATGTTGTATCATTCCTTGAGTGAGGGGATTAACACTAAAGTTAATTAAAACAGCTATCAGTAAACAAATTCCCCTAACGACCCAACAAAATAACCTACTATTATTAGAAACCAAATTAAACTCCTCCTCCTATGAAAAAGAAAGTAAACTTCTGGAACAGTTTAAAAAACAAAGTAATTTAAGTGAAAATAAGACCAAGAAGGGAAAAAACAAAAGAGGAGGGAATTGTAGAGAATAACCTATATGTGGTTGTCCATTTTCAATTCTAAGTGCTTTAGAGTAAGTTTAAGCAGGCGTCATGGAAATAAAGAAATAAAGAAGCAGAATGTACTATGCCATGAGCCACCTCCTCCCTTCTTCCTGCTTTCCCTGTCACCCAGTAGCCAGGCGCCTATCCGTTGGCTGCACCCCCCTTAAGTACCCCCTCCCCACCCCAGGAAAGAATTTAGTTTAGGCTAGCTTGCAACATAGATAACTGTACCCTTACTTATCAGCTAAGTGCAGCCATTAGGGCCATAAGTCAAATGTTTAAAGTACTGAGACAGTCACAATGCATTATGGGCTGCAATAAAGTGCAGCAAAAACACCCTAAAGAACATACCTGAAGCCTTAACCCAACTACTAATAGACAACGTCCAGGAAGACGGTAACCCCATAGTATTCAGCCAATGAGGAACTGGGGGAGGAACTTGTGCACTAAGGCAGAAATTCCTTGTTGAAACCGTTTGTAAGACTGCCATTGAAGTCTCGCTTCTGCTGTTCTCTGTGTCTCCGAGTGTATTCTTTGGGTTTGGATGGGTGAGTTTGTTTCTCACGGGACCTATATCATTTTCCTTCTCCGTGAATAATTTCTTTTAACCTTTCTTGTAAGGCAGGTGTGCTGGCAAAATCTTCCCTAAGTTTTTGCTTCTCTGGGAAGTCTTTATTTCTTCTTCGCTTTTGAAGGATAATGTGTAGGGTACAGAATTCTACCTTGGTGTTATTTTTCTCTGACACTTTAAATATTTCACTTCGCTGCCTTCTTGCTGCATGGTGTCTGTGGAAAAGTTGGTTGTGTGTAATTCTCGTCTTTGCTCCTCTAGAGGCTATTTTCCCCCTGTGTTTTTCTATATTTTTTCTTTACCTTTTATTTTCTGAAGTTTGACTGAAGTGTCTTTTTTTTTTTTTCTTTTGAGAGGGAGTCTCACTCTGTCGCCCAGGCTGGAGTGCAATGATGCGATCTCGGCTCACTGCAACCTACGCTTCCTGGGTTTAAGGAATTCTCCTGTCTCAGTCTCCCAAGTGGCCTAGTACTACAAGCGTGTGCCATCACGCCCGGCTAATGTTTGTATTTTTAGTAGAGACGGGGTTTTGCCATGTTTCCAACTCCTGACCTCAAGCGATCCCCCCGCCTCAGCCTCCCAACGTTCTGACTACCGTGTCTTGATGTGGCTTTTTTTGGGGGGGCGGCATTTATCCTGCCTGGCACTCTCTGAGCTTACCATCTGAGGTCTGCTGTTTGATAGTAACTTGAATTAAATTCTCAGTTATTGCTTCAAATATTTCTTCTATTCCTTTCTCTATTTCTACCCCTTCTAGTGTTCCCATTACACATAGTTAAACCTTTCACAGTCCTCCCATACTTGCCGGATATTCAGCTCTTTTTGTTTCAGTCCTTTCTTTCTCTTTGCTTCTCAATTTTGGAAGTTTCTTTTGCCATATACCCAAGTGCAAAATTCTTTCTTCATCCATGGCCGGTCTACTCATGACCCTATCAAAAGCATTCTTCGTTTCTGTTTCTGTGTTTCTCTCTGGTGTTTCCTTTTGACTCTTTGTTAGAAGTTCCATGCCCTTAATAACATGATGCATTTGTTCTTGCATGCCATCTGAGTTGTCCATTAGAGCCCTTGACAGATTATTCATAGTTGTTTTAAGTTCCCAAGTTGAAAATTCCAAAATTCCTTTGATATTTGAGTCTGGTTCGGATGTTTGCTCTGTCTCTTCAAACTGTGTTTTTCTCATTTTGGTATGCTTTGCTATATTTTCTGATAGGTGTACATGATATAATGGATTTTTTAAAAACTGCAGGCCTGTAGCTGTGTGGTGGTGGGTCAGGACTGTAAAGCTCTGTGAGTAGGTCGTAGCGTTTTAGCAAGATTGGGCCTCTGCACTATGAACTTTGCCTCCCTTAAGTGGGACAGGATGGCTAGCGTGGGCTGAAATTAGGTACTTCCATTCTCCCAGATATGAAAAATCCAGTAGGTTGGGCTCTGGCTATGTGGTTTCTCCTGCTAGGAACAACAGGGTGCTCTAGTATATTTCAAGTGATTTCTGTCCCCCTACCCCTGCCAGCAGCATAAGAAGATTTTTTTCTTACCTGATCCTCACTGTGAAAACGTGGCAGAGCTCCTGGAGCTAAGACTCACAAAAGTGTGGGATCCCTGAATGACTGGGCCCCCCTGGTGTTTTTCACTCTCAGACTTGTTCACACTGCGCCTGCAGCCATGTGTCAGTGTCCATTCAGGTTTCCCCACCCTGCCACTGGTTTTGTGGGGGTTCTGCTCTGGTCGGTGCTCATTTTCTCATCTGCCTGTAGGTCTCTCCAATGTGGGGCAGTGGTTTGCCCTGTGGCCTTGTTTCTCTGACAGTAAGAAGCATTCTTGATTTTTCAGTTTGTTCGATTTTTTACTTTTCATTAGAAAGGAGTGATGATTTCCAAACTACTTACATGAAAGATCAGACTTTTCTGAATTTAGTATATTAATAAGAAAATATTTAGTATTAATAAGGCTCTTCATTACTTTAGTGAGCCAAGATTATATAATGAAATGAATCCTATGTCAACTTTTTCATGTAAAATAAACATATTACAGGGAAAGGGGTACTGGGAAAGAGGTATTTATTATAATGGGTAGAATAAAAAGCATATATATATTAAACCACCAATATTTTAAACTATAGGTCAAACTGATATATTTGTGTTAATTTCTAAATGATTTTCTAAGACAATATTATTCTTGTATTTAAAAATTTTTAAATGTCGTCTATCTTTAGTTTACATTAACAAAAAAAAAAACTAATAGAATTGTAAAGTATCTAAAAACTCTTATTTTATCCCTAAATATTTTACATTCAGACTAGAAGACCAGGCTGTGAGTTACATTTTTAAAATATTTTTTCCTCTGAGCTGAGAGTTATTAGTAAGCAGTAATTTTCGAAGTTCTGTCGTTAAATATTTTTAGCCATAGGAACTGATAAATGTGATTGAAGACCCACTGATGTTTTACCTTGAATATAATGGAAATGTTTTAATTTGTTAAAAATGCTTAGGAAACCTATTTATTTTCTAAATAAAAATTCAGATAATTCAAGAAAATCTTGTTATACTATAAATTGAACCAAGAGCAATTTGGTTGTAGGTTGATTTCTTTCTCTTTTACTTCCTTATAAAAATATTAAGTGGGCTGTGTGCTGCACAACACCAGGACATATTATTCAGACACACTACAAAGTGGGTGGCACTACCTGGATTTATGCACTGTAGCAGTCTTGTGTGAGAATTAAAATGTGTGCATACATTTAAAAGGTGTTCTATTAATCCTATTTTTCCATTAACCACAGTCAGTATTATCAGAGTAAAAGGAAGAGAAAACGTTAGAGCATCATCGTGGATTGTACTGTATTTATTTCCATTGGGATTCTACAAAAAGATAGAATGTCATGCTAAATAAGTTTGGAGTTTGCCTTCAACCTTTTATTTATTTCTGTTGTCTTTGCAGGCGGTCCTCAGGAAGATGAACAGTGGTGATTTAATTATCTTTTAAGCTGCTCTGGACTGTCATTACATGCATCCTGATTTCTGTGAGTGAATGATTGAGTAGTTCCAATATTGAAACTATTATATTTAGAGAGTTTATTGATTTGAGTCTTGGAACAAAAATGGTCAATACACTGGTTTGGTATTTTAACCCATTTAAATTCAAAAATTCCTAGAGATAGTAAAGATGGAGGTTCTGCTTTCAAATTAAAGCTCATAATAGCTACACAGTTTCCAAAAGCTTGAACTTTCTCTTCTTGGACCTTGGAAGATAATGTTAGAAGATCAATCTGTGCATAGGATTACTAAACACACAGAGAGAGGCTTATTGACATCAACAGTATAAAATGAATATCTCTAGCTTGACATAATTTGGGTCTTGAGAAATTGTGCCTTGTGGTAACTGACTTCTCCTTTACTTGAATCATCTTGGTAATATTCTACTCAGCCTAATAAAATTGGTATATTCTCCAGTTAGGCTTAAAATTGATCATCAAACCATCACTAGTAGAAAGAATTGATGATTTTCAAAAAAATCAATCATCATTTATTGAATGTCTACAAGAAGCAGGGAACTCTTGTCAGAAGCATCCAGCTTTGCTGAAAATCAGGTTATCTTTATAAATGATTCTGAAAGATTTAAAGTGGAATTAAATTTGAATTGCTAATTTCCATCCAAAATGGAAATGACATTCAGCTTGGCAGTGCTGGACACCTGGCCCTTGTGTTTAGGAAATGTACCAAGTCAAACCAACTGGAGATGGGGCAGAACAGAATGCTGTGCTGGAGGAGGCCCAAGTAGAATGAGTGTTATCAGTTTTTAATTGATGGAGCTCCGGTGGTCTGAATTCCTCTAAGCCCTGGAAGAGATTTAACCATTTTAACACCGCCCATATGCCAGCAGACTTCAGCATCCAGCTGGCAGGATCAGGCATTTAGGTTGGTTAGTGTAGAGGCCTACAGGCCCACAACGATGTCAGGGACCACCCTAGGAGCCAGTTAGCAATGAAAGTGCAGGAAACAGACGTCTTCGTGCATATAGATATCCCAGTGGATGCTTGGACAGCACAAGGAGGGACTCTATGCTGGTGTTAGTCATTCTCAATAACTTGGAAAATTCCTAAACGTGTAAGAAGAGGTTTGGGTTTTTAATCATAAATTTGCATCTCTCCAGGGTAACCACGACCACTTTATTCGAAGTAAGTGTCCCTTGAGAAGATGTGGCAAAAATGGATTTGCCTCACAAATAGTGCTTCAGTCTAGGAAAGTCATAGCCACCTCCAGATGGCACTCGGTCCTCGTACCTTTTTTTGGCTCTGGCTTCATTCATGTTTGCTGCCATGACTGGTTCCTGATCCCAAATGTTGTCTTTGGGTATCTGCTGGGTGGGAGCTGCACATCGTGACAACATATCTGTAGGAGGAAATGTTGCTTCTTTGATTCCTCTGAATAAGAAAATCCAGGAGAAAATGTCAGTGGAATTTTCAGAGGAGAGAGAGAAAAAACCTGAACAGAGGCTGGTTAGCCCCCCTCCCCATAGCATTGAAGTCTCCTATTTTCTTGTCTCTTGAGCTCATTTCCAAAGACCTACATTACTTGCTTTGCCCAATTTCCTCCCCAACTCACTCTTTTAGGTAGAGCTCATTGTTTTTGAGATAATCTGGAACATGTGACCCTTTTAAATATGACATGATATTTCTTGTAGTGAAGAACCAAGAAAAGGGAACTGTTTTGCTACATCAGGGCTACTATTTTTCTTATGAGAAAGTTAGAGAAGCAAATGCTTAGAGATGGGGTCGGAGAGCAGCAATTTCGGTCAGAGGTGGCAATGCTGCACCAAATGTGAGACAACCAGCACCATCTCAAAAGCAATCTACTGGTTTAATTCCATTACCAATTGTCAGTTACTTCTTCCTTTGTGGGCTCCCAGAATGCTATGATACATCCATTCTCAACCTAAATTATTGTAGGAAAATGTCTTTTATTTAAATGAAAATTGATGTACTACAGGTGGATCACAGAGGATTTTTAGGGCAGCGAAACTCTTCTGTAGGATACTACAGTGTGGACACATGTCATTATGCATCTGTGTAAACTCGCAGGATGTACAACACCAGGAGTCAGCCCCGGTGTGCACAATCGACTTTGGATGTGTCAAGTGATATGCACTCATTGACTGCAACACGTGCACCACTGTGGCAGGAGATGTGGATAGTGGGGGGAGCTTGTGCATGTGTGAGGGAAGGGAGTAGATGGGAAATACTTGTGCCTTCCTCTTAATCTTTCTGTGAACCTGCAACCTGTTCTAAAAAGAATAAGGTCTTAAGGACACAGAAACAAAAACCAGATATACTCAAAACTACATAAACAGTAGCATGAAATCCACTAATTTTGGATTTCTGATCGTTTAGTTTCAGGTTGAGCAGAAGCTTAGTTATCAAGATCTTTCTTCATACTGTAAAATAAATGTGCTTCATAGAATACATCATATATGATTATAAAAGTTTCATGATAGCTAGTACTGTCTTGGAGGCCTACTCACGTTACTTTTTAGGGTAGACATGACCCACCCAAGGCACTAGAGAATATGGAGCATATTGGAAAAATATCCTTGCATGTAATTTGTGCAAGGATAAGCAAAATTATGTAATTAGCAAGAATACAGAAATATAAAGGGACATATGTGAATATGTATCTGTAAATACCTAGCACAAATTTTATCTTTGATGTGAAAAATAAACTTGCCAGGTAATTTTTGTTTCAAGCATTCAAACCTCTTTGTTAATTCTAACTTCATTATGCTCTTGGGTCCTAGTTTTTATTCTTCTGCAGTTCACTGCTAGTTAAAAAGTTCAATCTTACATAAAGATCTATGCTGGAATATGTTTGGTGCAATTCTCATAGTGACTTGAAGAACCTATGTGCAACTTTGGTAGAATTCGATAATCACCCCTACTAATGGTTCTCACAAATCTACATAACATTTTGGGTGTATAATATGAAGAAACTTATCATCTAAAAACATCCATAAATCCCACTCACTTGAGTGAGAACAGGCTGAAATTTACTGGAATCATATTATGAACAAATCATTACTTTTATTAGTCAATGTTCAGGCAGATAAACAAAAGTCACATTAGGTATATTGAACAGAAGGATATTTGATGCAGGACATCAATTACAGAAGGGTTACAAAATATGGAGGGACAAAGGAGAAAGAAAAATAATGTATACTATGAATGAAATGATTACTCATGACCTTGTACTGTGCTGGTTCTCCCATGGCTGCTGTAGAAATCAAGGCCTCTGCAGAAACCTATGTGCCAGCACTCCTATCAGCATTACATTTCTCCCTAGGGAACTGGAACTTCTAAACCCTCCAGATCCTGTATTCTAGGTGGTTTAAGAGACAACACTTGTGTTAGCCAGAATTCTAAGATGGCTGCTCCCAGCCTTTGCCCTACCAACTGAGAGCAGAGTGGGGCCTGTGAATATGGTAGATGTCACATTCACAGTTAGGTCACATTGTATGCCAAAGGTGAAGGGACTTTAACATAAATAAGGTCCCTAATCAAAGATTTTGAGTAAATCAAAAGCCTGTGGGTGGGCCTGGCCTTAGCAGGTGAGCCGTTATTAGAGGGTCTGTAAGGCAGAGATGCTATCTCCTGCTGGCCTGGAAGAAACAAGTAACCTTGAGTTCTACTGATGCAAAGAAGTGAACACTACCAACAAACCAAGTGAGCTTGGGACAGTGAGAACCCCAAGTTTCAGATGAGCCCTCAGCCCCAGCCCATACTGTGCCTACAGCCCTTTGCAACTCTAAGCAGAAGATTCAGTTAAGTCATGCCCAGAATTATCACCGACAGAAACCAAGATAATAAATAAGTGTTGTTTTCTTTTGCCAAGTTTGTAGTAATTCACAATGCTGCAATGGAAATTAATACAGCACCAGATATGAGTTGCTGGTTGAAAGAACTGTATCACTTTTTAAGTACATTTCAGACTTCCATGACGTTGTCTCCAGCTGGTTCATTACATGAGTCTTTCATAGGCTGTTTCAAACTTCTATGAGGCAGGCAGCTTCTGGATGTGGCAAAGTCAGTGAATTACATCGGTGTGAGCCTACTGTAGCACTACTTTGCTGGAAAAAAAAATGTTCTTTGTAGAAGTAGCGTATTGTGGAAAACCTTGCCTGTGACCATAGCACTCTGCAGGCCTGAGATGGTGGTGCTGGCAGAAGAACCGTGGGCAGGGAAGGCACATTCACATCTAGATTACATGTGTACAGATGGTCCCCAGTTTACGATGGTTCAGTTTAGGATTTTTTGACTTCATAATTGTGCGAAAGTGATACACATTTGGTAGAAACTGCACTTTGAGTACCCATACAACTCTTCTGTTTTTCTTTTTCAATAGAATATTCAATGAGTTACGTGAGATAGTCAGCACTTCATTACAAAACAGGTTTTGTGTTATATGAGTGTGCCCAGCTGTGGCTAATGTAAGTGTTGTGAGCATGTTTAAGGCAGGCAAGGCTACGCTATGCTGTTCAGTAGGCTAGGCATATTAAAGCATTTTTGATATGCTTTTTGACATTTTGACTTAGGATATTTTCAACATGGGATAGGTTTATTGGGACAGAACCCCATTCTAAGCATTCAAAGCATCTGTGCTCTGGTAAGGCAAAATATTGGAATGGAAGGATTCAAACATAGTCAACTTGCCACAGGTGGCTGGCTGCTCCTCCCAGCAATGTTGTCATACTGGGGTCTCAGAGGGTCTTTGCTCTTTCAGGTTTGGCAACAGGTGGCGTCTCTAACCAGATACACCTTGTGGAGGAGAAGTCCCCAAGGACTTCTCCATAGAAGGCCCTGAATAGCTTCTTTTCCTGCTACCATGGCCATTTTTTTTTTCTTTTTACATAAAGCTCAGAAAATACCAGGGTGGATAAGGAAATGAGTGACAGTCACAGATAATCACTTCCTCCACCTGATTTCTGAGAGCCTTCTCTTCAGAGGCACTCTTATGGAGAATGTCCACACAA